GTTTATTTCTGTACCGCGCCACTGGACTACGTCACAAGAGTCGGTGGCCGGGGGGTGTCGCCTACGTGAGAGATGCCAGCGACTTAGCACTTGGGGGACGGACGCAAGCCACGCTAGGCGGGGGACGTGACACCCGGAGACTCCGCCTGTCATACTTGCAGTCACTGACGTCATCGCTGAATGTCATTGAGGGAATTTGTTTACCTTTTTTTTTACTTTGTCTTTAAAAAAGTTGCGTGTTAAATAATGTATCTAGCTTGGGTTAAAAGTTAACTGTCAATGAACTCAGTTCTTTGTTTCGTTGTTTTGTTCCATTACTAAATTTAGAAAATGAAATTTTAAATATGTCGTTACACGCTACAAATACATTTAATTGTAACAAAAGCATTGTAAAGAGTAATTATGAAAATATTTTTATGTGAAAATTAGAAAACTAGTTCTAAGAAGAATTTAAAATTATTTTTTTTTTGCTTGTTATAAAATACACAAATAAAAGATGTTTTAAAAAGAAGGATTTGTTCTATGATACACCAAGAGCAGTATCATTTAGTACGGTACATTTTATCACCAAACTTCCACTGTAAAAGTTATTGAAATGATTGAAAGCTGACAAATCAAAGCGTCGGATATACGAGGAAAAAATAGAATTTAAAAGTGATAAAATACCTTTTCGAAACCGACGGCCTGTGAGGCAGATTACAGTAAAGTATTTAACTGACCACGTCATATGAGGGGATAGTGTGGTCAAAACTTTGTGTAAATGTCAAAACTTCCCCAATTGTTAGTCAGGAACCTATGAGAGCCGGGTTTACTCAAAGTCGTATTAGGGAATCGAGTCCGGAATCCGATCACAAGACGTTTGGGTTGCCAGTCATGCGCTCTACCATTCCACCACACCGTACAAATATAATTATATTGACAGAAATAAGATAACAGCCAGCAACCATATTGGATCCCAAAGTGAATCAATGGATATCAATCGTTCCTAGACGCTGTCAATGCAAGAGTAAGCTGATGTAACTACTACAGTTGTCGCCCCACAGCTTGATTGGGTGACGTCGATGATTGACCACAACTGACCAGCGGCACCTTATAACGGAAAAGTTACTATTCATGTCCGTTGTACACACCTTTTACTTTTCGGTCACTTTCGACCTAATTATTTCGTCTAAATAGGTCATTGACCGCATTCCGAACTAGTCCAGAAAGTTCTTACAGTTTTCCATGACCCTCTTGCATTGGCGAGTATCGATACTCTCAAACAGAGCAGGTAAAAGTCCACTCACCATTCTAAAACTACATAACTACCAAAAGGGACCTAACTCTTGACAAACAGGGGTCAATAAACTTTGCACAGTGTACGGACCTGGTTTCAAGCCCCTAAAGGTCACGAGGGTGGGAGCTCCTACGACCTTGACTTAGATCGTACTTTCCACTTTTTGGACTAAATGATGTAGGGCTAATGAAGTTAAAGAGGCCAAGCTTTTGTTTTAATTTTCGTTTACAGTTTTCTTTTTTTTTTTTTTCGTGCAACCTTCGAGCAAAGTGTTTTATAGTCATTTTGCCTGTTTGAAACTTGAGGGGGAACAGTCAATTATAACAATGGACAAAATGTATTTTCTAGTTAATTTTTTTTCTATTTCTTCTCGGGGGTGGGGTGGATGATTCGGGCGTTTGTTGCATTCGGGCAAGTGTCATTTCGGGCATTTGTCCCATTCGTGCATTTGTTGCATTCGGGCAAGTGTCCATTCGTGAAAACGACCTTCGGGCAAACGGCCTTCGGGCAAGTGTCTTTCGGGAAAAAGTCCGGCTCCCCTGAACCAGATGTCTATAGAACTGTATTGTCCTTAGAGAGAGCCCGACTTCTAACCCGACATCTAGAGCTCACCAAACCCTGGACTGGACTCCGTGTGCTGAGTTCACTCAGCTGTGATGGGTACCTGACGCACGTAAAGACGGATGTAATAACGATTCATCAGAGTTGGGTCCAAGACATTCTGCCTACTTTTGATTTACTAACAACAGATTATTTCCGATTTCATTATGCCACACCCACTAATATCTTGGGGTGGGGGGGGGGGGTCCAATATTATCTGTCTAATGAGATGCTTTTTTTTTTACTGATGTGTGCAAAGTGTGTCCAATCCATCCTCACTTACGTTTGTGTACATTATTAATGGGGGGGGGGGGGGGGGTTCCCCGAGTTTTTAACCATAGTTTAGTGTTTGTAATATCCGCAGTCAACCCTATATGGAAGTCTAAAGTTGTTTTACTATTAGTTAGTGTTACTCTCCACTTCTCACAGCAATAGAAGAAAAATATTTCAAGTTATTGCTAAAATAGTTTTTCCAGACCTTTATGGTGAGGCTTTTGCTAACTTGATCTACTCCCCCATCCTGATTTACTACACTTCCTAGTTGTTTCTTGTATTTAATAGTGGAATCTTCTGTTTGTTGTGAACTCTTATCACCATGTTTTCTTTTACAAAATTGACATTCCGCCGTTAAATTATCTAAAACTTAGCGGTGCAATTGCGAAACTTTTGGAAGAAACTAAAAGAAAAACAACCCACACTTTTAAACATCTCAAACTAGATCGCTTGACATGCTAATATGTGTTCGTTTGTTCTATAAAAGAATGAAAAGTTCGTGGTTAGATCACTGCGTTTGGCTCAAACGTGCCTTTGTAGCCTGCATATCGCATACAAAGAACCATCCTCTACTCAACAATCGTACTCTATAGATGAGGATTTGCCATTGATATCGAGCGCCAATGCCCATTCATCGACTGACTTAATTCAAACATTAATACCATGCACGTGATGGTAACTAAGCAGCCTGCTAATCTTCGGATTAAGTTGAAGTTGTTCATCTCTTGCTGTAACGCTAATTGGTAATTAACGTTAGATTAATTCATAAATTAGGAGGACAATGTACAGGTTTTAGAGTTGAAGTTTAGAGTAGCGTCAATTAAAAGATAGGATTTGGGAGAAGCAGCAGTTGGGGATTACTAGGTGGCATACGTGAGTTGTTTGTGGGTGGCGCCAGTTACTGCATGAGTGAACCAGTAAGTTAGTTGGTGCACCACATAGCGGGTGGGTGCACCTGTTATTTAGTTGGTGCACCAAAATGGGTAGGTGCAATAGTTAGTGGGTGGGCGCACCAGTTAGTGCGTGGGTGCTCCGGTTAGTGGGAGGGTGCACTTTTTAGTGGGTGGGTGCACCAGTAAGTGGGTAAGTGCACCAGTTAGTGGGTGGGTGCACCGGTTAGTGGGTGGGTGCACCGGTTAGTGGTGGGTGCACCGGTTAGATGGTGCATCATTTAGCGGGTGTGTGCACTAGTTAGTTCTTCAGAAAGTGGGCCAGTAATAGGGTCTGGTGCACAATAACTTGGTGAGTGGACAATATTTCGGTTGGGTGCACTCATTAACATAATTTATTTACATTTTATTCGTCCAGTGCTTCAGCACATACCGCTAACTTATTTTTTTTTAAAGTTGTAAGATAAAATAATTTTAATTAGTTTCTACAGCGTGAAATGTACTAGTGTGGAGTAGTTAAAGAGATGGTTTTGTATAATGCGTTGGTAATGTGACTAAACTAATGAGAAGTATTGCTTTAATAATGTGACGGTTCACTACAAAATGCGATTAATATACATAACTACTTTCATTTATCTATATAAATGAACATTAAAGTGCCTTCACAGCTTGATTTACTAATCACCTGGATAATGATTTTGACAGCAAAAACGTGTTATTTTTATAGCAATAGGAATCTTGAAATAAAAATGTTAACTACATTTATAATTGTGTTTATTCGGGCGAATGAAACGTCATTACTTCATAAATTTTCTAAAAACATTTTTTTCACTTTTTTGGGTAGGATTTGGTGACTTCTTGCACGTTCGCACACTCGTGTTGAGCTTGTAGTGTCAGGGATCCAGGTACATTAAAAAAAACTTCAAATCTTCAACAAGCAAAAAATGGGCGGGGCTATAATGACCAACAATGCGAGACTAAAACGAGGATCTTTGAAACAACAGTAAAACATTTCTTGGGAAGGTTGCTGTTTTTTTTAAAACTAAACTGAAATTATTTGCTCCTAAATCAAAGTTAACTCCACTTCCTGATAGGTTGTTCTAGATTAAGCTAAACATTTCTGATACAGCTGTAAAAACAAGTTATATTCCATGGTTGATACTGAACTACAAATTTGATACAATACTTATATATGAAATTTCATCAACCTAGCTGTAACGGTACTCAAGGGTACTCAAGTTATCATGTACACAGACAGACACAGACACACGCACTCACACACAATAGCAACATTAAGTTTTTCTGACTCAGGGAGGTGTAAAACGTTGAGACTTTCAAAATAACATTTGGGTAGGGGGGGGGGAAGAAGGTTGATTTAATTCTAAATTTTCCTGGCGTAGGTCAAAGTATATATATATATATATATATATATATATATATATATATATATATATATATATATATATATATATATATATATATATATATATATAATTTTCGTTTTGGGGTAGACATGCTTCAGGGTGGTGGTGCCCCCCTCCCACCCCCACACCCCGAAGAGATTTCTAAAAGAAAAACGCTGGTCAGCGTCCCAGAAACACTTCCGATGTACGGAGTAAAGTATTCGCACACTTCTAAAGTAAGGCAACTTGTGTTTTTTGTTGTTTTTTTCCAAAATGTCCACACCTGCCAGGTATGCCATTTGTCGTCATCATTTCAAACTGATGACGTCAGCGGGTGTTTTTTTTTCTGGGCGAAGGGGGGAAAAAATTCCTAATTGGTTCTAATAACTACGCGAGACCTTTTCAGCTTAGCGTAACTGACCTTGACATTGTTTTGGAAAATACGTTTAACTGTGGGTAGGGGAGCAAACGATAGGGGGTGGGGGGGAGCGGACGATAGGGGGGTGACAGATGTTTAAGGTAGTGGGGGCTAGATATAAGGCGGTGACACTTTGTTGACAAGCGGTTGCTTCCCCTGTCAAGTCTGAATGAGAGCTGGATAGAGTAAGTGTTTGATGTTAATTTATTTTGGATGAAATTTTGTGAGGTCCATGTTCGGTTTCAGATTCTTTTTTTTTAATGCTTTTATTTACTTAGCAAAGTCTGTTTGTTTTGGTTTTGTAACTTAATATTAACTCACTTCTAATGCAGCAATATCCATGTGCATAAGTATCCGAAGAAAACGCAAGAATATATAATTTTTCTTTTTTTTTAATATGCTTCTATTTACTTAACATACACTGTTTGTTTGCGGTTTACATTGTAACTTAATACTAACCCACTTCAAATGCACGATATCCATGTGCATAGGTATCCGGAGAAAACGCAAGAATATATAATTTTTGTATCTTATCAGATGCCAATTATTTTTATTAGGTACGTTTTTTTTTATTACGTTTATATTTGTAAGTTTTTTTATTAATATTTATAAGCATTTATTTATTATTACTGAACTTTCCAGATACAATCGACTCCGATGACAATGTAATAATATGCAATTATATAAAATAATATGAATTAATTAATGAATTTATATATATTTTCAAAATAATTAGACATTTGATTAGTCATTCTAATCTAATTAATAGCTTAAAGTACTATTTCCGTTCGACGGAAATTACTCATATTTGACAGAAGACAAAGAATATATATATATATATGTGTGTATATAATATATATATATATATATATATATATATATATATATATATATATATATATATATATATATATATATATCAATGTATATAAAGAAAGTCTCACACCTTTAATCAAACGAGGTCAATACCTGTTTTTTTCCAAATTACCACATGTACTTTTCCCCCCAATCTGTCAACGGGGAACTATTACTATTTCTGACCATTGATCAGGAATAATATTGTACATCTTACTGCCATATGGTACCAGGTCAAGCCTCACACTTTCATGACTCTCACGTTGTTAAAGTATGTTTTCAGACGTCATTCTCCCGATGTACTCTACGTACGCTACTTCAATTGGTCTAGTTTAACATCAGAATGATATGCTCACTAATTTCTATTGTGCTGGTGTTTTGTATATGTTAGCTTTCTAGCATAGATTAGAACCTGGAAACAACCGTTGTGTTTTTTTGAGAATTTACATAGATGTTTCTAATTAGATCTTAAGCAAAAGATCTATATAGTTATATTGGTAATCAGAGTTTCTTCCAGGCATCTCTTCGGGGGGACGGAGCAACCCCCCGCCTTCCTCTGAAAAAAGTCTACCGTCGTCGTCCCCCTCCCCCCCCCCCCCCCCACGTCGCCGTCCGTTCGTCCCCCCCCCCCGTTCGTCCCCCCCCCCCCCCAAACCACCACCACCATTAAAGATATTACCAGTCAAGAAGTTGTAAAAATCTGTAACAACAAACAAAAGTTCTGGACAAATCCAGCATGTGACCGTGCACCTCCTATTGTTTCAGCCACGGATGGGAACCTTGATGAAAAACCTGGAGACCGCTGTCATCGATGTCTACGACGGCGTCGTCCCCGACGTGTCGGAGATCATTGACCAGAAGATCCGACTCCTGGAGTCCACGGTAAGACGACTAACCACCCGACCATGTAATTAGATGACGTGTTTCTCCTCTCTGTAGACAATACCACCAGACCATTTAATTAGACCAAGTTTTTGTTATGAAAATCGACTGAGTTAGGTCCTTTCTGTAGATACTACCACTACACCATGAAAATCGACTGAGTTTATGTCCTATCTGTAGACTGCCCCGCCTTAGTGACTGGTTTTCGTATGTCGTCACAACCATAATCCTCCCGATCTCGACGCGAATTAAAAATAAACATTATTTACAAAAATTGCATCGTCTGGTTTTGTGTTGTACAATAAAATGTGTTGTCATTTGTCTTGCTGGACCTAATGTCATCTTTTGGTGTCATTTGTCTTGCTGGACCTGATGTCATCTTTTGGTGTTGTCATTTGTCTTGCTGGTCCTGATGTCATCTTTTGGTGTCATTTGTCTTGCTGGACCTGATGTCATCTTTTGGTGTTGTCATTTGTCTTGCTGGACCTGATGTCATCTTTTGGTGTTGTCATTTGTCTTGCTGGTCCTGATGTCATCTTTTGGTGTCATTTGTCTTGCTAGACCTGATGTCATTTGTCTAGCTGGACCTAATGTCATCTGTTGGTGTTGTCATTTGTCTTGCTGGTCCTGATGTCATCTTTTGGTGTTGTCATTTGTCTTGCTGGACCTGATGTCATCTTTTGGTTTGGTCATTTGTCTTACTGGACCTGATGTCATCTGTTGGTGTTGTCATTTGTCTTGCTAGACCTGATGTCATCTTTTGGTGTTGTCATTTGTCTTGCTGGTCCTGATGTCATCTGTTGGTGTTGTCATTTGTCTTGCCGGACCTGATGTCATCTTTTGGTGTTGTCATTTGTCTTGCTGGTCCTGATGTCATCTTTTGGTGTTGTCATTTGTCTTGCTGGACCTGATGTCATCTTTTGGTTTTGTCATTTGTCTTGCTGGTCCTGATGTCATCTTTTGGTGTTGTCATTTGTCTTGCTGGACCTAATGTCATCTTTTGGTGTTGTCATTTGTCTTGCTGGACCTAATGTCATCTTTTGGTGTTGTCATTTGTCTTGCTGGACCTAATGTCATCTTTTGGTGTTGTCATTTGTCTTGCTGGACCTGATGTCATCTTTTGGTGTTGTCATTTGTCTTGCTGGACCTAATGTCATCTTTTGGTGTTGTCATTTGTCTTGCTGGTCCTGATGTCATCTTTTGTTGTTGTCATTTGTCTTGCTGATGTCATCTTTTGGTGTCATTTGTCTTGCTAGCCCTTATGTCATCTTGTTGTGTTCCAGAATCGAGACGACGCCTTTTTTGTCGTCAACCTGAGCGAGATCCACCGGAAGTTCCAGGACTGGAACCGTCTGCTGCCGAGAGTACAGCCGTTCTATGGTAGGACCCAGGGGGGGGGGGGGGGGGGGGGGGCGGGGGGGGGGAGTTTTAAATAACAGTGATTGAAATCGTAGATCTAACCTATGATGGGAGGAGGAGGGGGTAAGGGGATAAGGGGATTTATAAAAACGTCACGCTATTTTACCTTTCACCCTCTCCCCTAAAATGACGCCACGCTCCAACTTTTTTCCCGTCTCAAAATATAATTTTAAAAAAAACAGCTGTTTTTTTAATATTTACAGAGTTCGGTCAACATTGATAAAGTTTAATTAAAATTACCAAAAAATTATAATAATTTTTAAAAATGATCATTCCTTTGAAATGCTAACTTGTTCTGACCCCCACCCCCCCCCCCCCCCCCGTCAACATGGTCACAAAAGTGCGACCCCCCCCCCCCCCCCGGTCTCAGAGACTTACAAGAGCGGCGTCGTTTATGGCTCACCCTCTAACTACCGTTACCTTACACACAAAAATGAGGGACAAGTAGTGTATCATTTTTAATAAGATGTCATTTATTTTCTCTTAGCCGGCCTCTCAATTTTATATTTTGTTTCAAGTTGTCCCCCAGATCTATTTTAATTACGTCCCCTCTCGTTCACGCCACTAGGTTATCTGCCTTGGAAGGCGGTAACTCATTGTTTTCTAAATATGCTGATGTTAAATTTAGGTAATTTTATCGGTGGGGAAAATCTAGAGCTAGACTTTGGAATTTATTCATTGTACGTTTTTCACACATTCTGCTGTAAAGCCACTTGATACATGAACATATTTGTTCAATGGTAATATTTCGCTATTTATTCTTGGCAGGCATCTTGTTTGTTCTTCTGCCATTAAACCGATGTATAATGAATTCATTAACTACGGGTGTATCTGATGCTGACTAAATATCAAATAAATTGGGTTGTAGGTGTGAATGTATTCTTATATTACATGCTATAATTTTTTTCTTGTTGCGGTGTAATGTGAACCGTATGTATGTTTATGTATGCTATCTAATAAAAAAAAATTAACGGGTGTTAATTTTGCCATCTTAGCGTTAAAATGTAACCACGACCCCGAAGTGACCAGGTTTTTGGCGGGACTTGGGGTCGGCTTCGACTGTGCCAGCAAGGTAAGCAACAAAATATTTTTGTACATTGGGGGTGGGGGTGGTGTGCTCGAGTCGGTAAAGCTCATGGTTGCTAAACCGAAAAGTCTCGGACAGATGAGGCTCGTTAGTTGGGGAAGGGGTGTAGGACAAAAGGCCGACATGGACAAAAGGCCGACAGCCAAAAGGCCGACAGGACAAAAGGCCGACAGCCAAAAGGCCGACAGGACATAAGGCAGACAAGACATAAGGCCGACAGCCATAAGGCCTTGTAGTTTGTTCTTGGAAGAAGAAGTACATTAGGTGAGTACTAGACAGCTAATAAAAGGACGTCAATTGTAAAGGGGAGTTTATTGTCGGGGTCCACTTGTTGCTAGGTGACAGTTACTAGATCTAGGTAACATATGGAAACGTGGTTCAGTGGTAGAGCATACGACTGCTAAACCGAAAATCTCGAGTTCGAATCCGGGTTCAAGTCCGTAGAACGTTACTAAGCCCGCCAATTACTAACCCTAGGTAAGCATTGTTCGACGTATGGGACGGCGTGGTTGAATGGTAGCGCATAGTTCTAAAAACCGAAGAGTCTTGAGTTCTAATCCGGGTTTCGTAAAGAGAACTTTACATTATTAGGCGCCCATTTCTAGGCGTCCAATGCAACTTCTAAACATTCAAGGCTAAATGTGCAGTTTTTTTTTTTAACTTTATCTGAATTTAGAAAACAACTATCCACAACTCAACTCAAATTATCTAACCTTAAATGAAACCTACTAAAGAACATAAATACTATCTATTCACTACCATCAGCCGACATCTACCCTAAACTTATTATTTAAAAAATAATATCAATCGATAGAAATAAATTATCCCAGTATTGTTTGATTTTGGAGTTGTCCCCAGCTAAGGAGCTTCAACTGCCCGAGGATACGAACTCGAGACTGTTCGGTTTAGCAACTATGAGCTTTACCGTCTCGACCACGCCGACTCCTATATATCGTCTCTAACACGTTGATCAAATCCTATTTCGTGTAGTCCGTGAACCTACAATGTGAACTGAGAGTTATTAGCCCCCAATATTGTATCAAGTTCCATTAATATCAACCTTAAATGAGTAATCTCCCTTACCACAATGTCCATACGTTTATGCTAAATCCCTGCACAATAGCCTCCCTTTCAATGATAAAATAAACCGGGAGTGATCTCCCCTAAACTTTCTCGAATATTCTAATATAACACTACGGGGGTGGCAACTCGGGACATAGACAATATTTTAAATCCATTTTTAATTAATTAAACTTTTATAAATGAATAGAATTTCGTAAAAAAAAAAAGAATTGCACACCAAGTGAACGCCAAATAAAATGCGCATAAAAGTGCGGGATATTATTAGTACTTTATAAATTCACATGCGTTTTTTTTTTGAGAAATCGGAAATAGCGTAAATTACTACTTCCGGTCAACGAAAATTACTCAAAATTTCAAAGAAGGCAGAAAATTAGAACTTTTACTTACATGTGAAATGTCATTTATCTATCTAGTACACAAGTTATAGGCTTTTTAAAAATTCAAAGTAGAAAAAGTACCACTTCCGGTTATCAGAAATCGCTCAAAAATTGATACGGATCTACGATTTTGATATAATACTTATATCAACCTAGCCGTACAGGTACTCAATTTATCGTGTTTACACACACACACAGACACACATACACACACACACACATACGGACAAGATTGCATATCTATGTTTTTCCGACTCAGAGAATCCTAAAACGTCGAGATTTGCAAAAATCTCGATTTTTTTAAAATTGATTTTTTTGCACGATTACAAGACTTTCTCTATACTTCGTATATACGAGAAAGTAAGAAAAAAACAGAGCTATCGTCCTGGAATATAATATGTGACAAGAGTTACCTGTCCCCACAGAATGAGTTGTCTCAAGTACTCAGGCTGGGCGTCCACCCGTCCAGGATCGTCTTCGCCAACCCGTGCAAGCAGACAAGTCACGTGATCTACGCCGCGCATGCGCGCGTCGACTTGATGACGTTTGATGACGTGTATGAGTTGCAAAAGATCAAAGAGCATTTCCCGAATGCGAGGTAAAGCTTTTAAATCCTCATACAGAAATAAAACTACGAAAAAAAAATGAAATGACCTTTCGATTCGGATACCCAGAAATGTTAGGTCATTGGAAATATCCCGCATAAGTTATATTTAGATCATGCATTTCTTTTCGGGAAAACCAAATTTGACAGCTGGTTGTGTTTTACTAGGTTTTGTCTCATTAGACCAGAAGCGTAGCGATGGGGGGGGGTGTACATATGTCCCCGGGCGCCGTCCTTAGGGGCGCCAAAATGGGTTGTAAAAACGAATTAAAATGTTATATTTTAGCTGCATTTTTTGCATTTGAGGAGACTAGACTGTCTCACTAGACTGTGTCTAACTAGACTGTCTCATTAGACTGTGTCTCATTAGACTGTGTCTCATTAGACTGTGTCTCACTAGACTGTCTCATTAGACTGTGTCTCATTAGACTGTGTCTCACTAGACTGTCTCATTAGACTGTGTCTCACTGTGTCTCACTACACTGCGTCTCACTACACTGTGTCTTACTACACTGTGTCTTACTACACTGCGTCTCACTACACTGCGTCTCACTACACTCTGTCTTATTAGACTGTGTCTCATTAGACTGTGTCTCATTAGACTGTGTCTAACTAGACTGTCTCACTACACTGTGTCTCATACACTGTCTCACTACATTGTGTCTCACTACACTGTGTCTCACTACACTGTGTCTCACTACACTGTGTCTCACTACACTGTGTCTCACTACACTGTGTCTCACTACACTGTGTCTCATTCACTGTGTCTCACTACACTGTGTCTCACTACACTGCGTCTCACTACACTGTGTCTCACTACACTGCGTCTCACTACACTGTGTCTCATTCACTGTGTCTCATACACTGTGTCTCATTCACTGTGTCTCACTACACTGTGTCTCATTCACTGTGTCTCATTCACTGTGTCTCACTACACTGTGTCTCATTCACTGTGTCTCACTACACTGTGTCTCATTCACTGTGTCTCACTACACTGTGTCTCACTACACTGTGTCTCACTACACTGTGTCTCACTACACTGTGTCTCACTACACTGTGTCTCATTCACTGTGTCTCACTACACTGTGTCTCACTACACTGTGTCTCACTACACTGTGTCTCACTACACTGTGTCTCACTACACTGTGTCTCACTACACTGTGTCTCACTACACTGCGTCTCACTACACTGTGTCTCATTCACTGTGTCTCACTACACTGTGTCTCACTACACTGTGTCTCACTGTGTCTCACTACACTGCGTCTCACTACACTGTGTCTCACTACACTGTGTCTCACTACACTGCGTCTCACTACACTGCGTCTCACTGTGTCTCACTACACTGTGTCTCACTACACTGCGTCTCACTACACTGTGTCTCATTCACTGTGTCTCACTACACTGTGTCTCACTACACTGTGCCTCACTGTGTCTCACTACACTGCGTCTCACTACACTGTGTCTCACTACACTGTGTCTCACTACACTGTGTCTCACTACACTGCGTCTCACTACACTGCGTCTCACTACACTGCGTCTCACTACACTCTGTCTCATTAGACTGTGTCTCATTAGACTATGTCTCATTAGACTGTGTCTCACTAGACTGTCTCACTACACTGTGTCTCATACACTGTCTCACTACACTGTGTCTCACTACACTGTGTCTCACTGTGTCTCATTCACTGTGTCTCACTGTGTCTCACTACACTGCGTCTCACTACACTGTGTCTCATTCACTGTGTCTCACTACACTGTGTCTCACTACACTGTGTCTCACTACACTGTGTCTCACTGTGTCTCACTACACTGCGTCTCACTACACTGTGTCTCATTCACTGTGTCTCACTACACTGTGTCTCACTACACTGTGTCTCACTGTGTCTCACTACACTGCTTCTCACTACACTGTGTCTCATTCACTGTGTCTCACTACACTGCGTCTCACTACACTCTGTCTCATTAGACTGTGTCTCATTAGACTGTGTCTCATTAGACTGTCTCACTAGACTGTCTCACTACACTGTGTCTCACTACACTGTGTCTCACTGTGTCTCACTACACTGTGTCTCACTGTGTCTCACTACACTGTGTCTCATTCACTGTGACTCACTACACTGTGTCTCACTACACTGTGTCTCACTACACTGCGTCTCACTACACTGCGTCTCACTACACTCTGTCTCATTAGACTGTGTCTCATTAGACTGTGTCTCATTAGACTATGTCTCATTAGACTGTGTCTCACTAGACTGTCTCACTACACTGTGTCTCATACACTGTCTCACTACACTGTGTCTCACTACACTGTGTCTCACTGTGTCTCATTCACTGTGTCTCACTGTGTCTCACTACACTGCGTCTCACTACACTGTGTCTCATTCACTGTGTCTCACTACACTGTGTCTCACTACACTGTGTCTCACTACACTGTGTCTCACTGTGTCTCACTACACTGCGTCTCACTACACTGTGTCTCATTCACTGTGTCTCACTACACTGTGTCTCACTACACTGTGTCTCACTGTGTCTCACTACACTGCTTCTCACTACACTGTGTCTCATTCACTGTGTCTCACTACACTGCGTCTCACTACACTCTGTCTCATTAGACTGTGTCTCATTAGACTGTGTCTCATTAGACTGTCTCACTAGACTGTCTCACTACACTGTGTCTCATTCACTGTGTCTCACTGTGTCTCACTACACTGCGTCTCACTACACTGTGTCTCATTCACTGTGTCTCACTACACTGTGTCTCACTACACTGTGTCTCACTACACTGTGTCTCACTGTGTCTCACTACACTGCGTCTCACTACACTGTGTCTCATTCACTGTGTCTCACTACACTGTGTCTCACTACACTGTGTCTCACTGTGTCTCACTACACTGCTTCTCACTACACTGTGTCTCATTCACTGTGTCTCACTACACTGCGTCTCACTACACTCTGTCTCATTAGACTGTGTCTCATTAGACTGTGTCTCATTAGACTGTCTCACTAGACTGTCTCACTACACTGTGTCTCACTACACTGTGTCTCACTGTGTCTCACTACACTGTGTCTCACTGTGTCTCACTACACTGTGTCTCATTCACTGTGACTCACTACACTGTGTCTCACTACACTGTGTCTCACTACACTGCGTCTCACTACACTGCGTCTCACTACACTCTGTCTCATTAGACTGTGTCTCATTAGACTGTGTCTCATTAGACTGTGTCTCATTAGACTGTGTCTCATTAGACTGTCTCACTACACTGTGTCTCATACACTGTGTCTCACTACACTGTGTCTCACTGTATCTCACTACACTGCGTCTCACTACACTGTGTCTCATTCACTGTGTCTCACTACACTGTCTCACTACACTGTGTCTCACTACACTGTGTCTCACTGTGTCTCACTGTGTCTCACTACACTGCGTCTCATTACACTGTGTCTCACTACACTGCGTCTCACTACACTGTGTCTCACTACACTCTGTCTCATTAGACTGTGTCTCATTAGACTGTGTCTCATTAGACTGTGTCTCATTAGACTGTGTCTCACTAGACTGTCTCATTAGACTGTGTCTCACTGTGTCTCACTACACTGTGTCTCACTACACTGTGTCTCACTACACTGTGTCTCACTACACTGTGTCTCACTACACTGTGTCTCACTACACTGTCTCACTACACTGTGTCTCATACACTGTGTCTCATCAGGTTACTACTAAGGATCCAGTCTAGCAAGGAACACAAAGCCAAACACAACTTCAACAAAAAGTTTGGCTGTCGACCGGAAGTGGCGGAAGCGCTGTTGAGACATGCGCAGAAGATGGAGCTCAATGTTGTGGGCATTAGGTGAGGGTCTGGGGCCTGTGTGGGGAGGGTGTGTGGGGAGGGTGAGAATGTGGGAGTGGGGCGGGGAGGGAAATATGTTAATGAGTGTAGGAGGAGAACATTTTAAATTATATTTTTAATTGCAAAGAGACGAAAACGATTAAAAAAAAAGCTAATTTAAGAAAGAGAAAAGGAATGATAAATGGAACGAAAGAAAGTTTTATTTCAGAACGATAGAAAGTAATAAAGAGAAAACGATGTAAAGGAAGAAGGAAATAAACACAGAACGAATAAAAGGAAAAAAAATGAGCGACTGATTATACAAAGAATGGATTAACAAATGGATGAGAGAATAAACAAACAAACAAATGAACCAGTAAACGAATATATGAATAAACAATAGTTTTGTGATGAATAATACATACCTACATAACTAAGTAAATAATAAGTTTTAGAATGTGTATTTCGTCATAAACTGGCAAGGTTAATGAATGAGTACACAAACGAGAACACACCTGTAACTCACCTGTCACTCACCTGTAACTCACCTGTAACTCACTTGTAACTCACCTGTAACTCACCTCTAACTCACCTGTAACTCACCTGCAACTCACCTGCAACTCACCTGCAACTCACCTGTAACTCACCTGTAACTCACCTGCAACTCACCTGCAACTCACCTGCAACTCACCTGTAACTCACCTGTAACTCACCTGTATCTCACCTTAACTCACCTGTAACTCACCTGTAACTCACCTGTATCTCACCCGTAACTCACCTGTAACTCACCTGTAACTCTCCTGCAACTCACCTGCAACTCACCTGCAACTCACCTGCAACTCACCTGTAACTCACCTGTAACTCACCTGTAACTCACCTGCAACTCACTTGCAACTCACCTGTAACTCACTTGTAACTCACCTGTAACTCACCTATAGCTCACCTGTAGCTCACCTGCAACTCACCTGCAACTCACCTGCAACTCACCTGCAACTCACCTGTAACTCACTTGTAACTCACCTGTAACTCATCTGTAACTCACCTGTAGCTCACCTGTAACTCACCTGTAACTCACCTTCCCAGCTTCCACGTGGGATCTCTACCTGAGCAGGTGTCCTGTTTCGACACTACCATAGCTGTGGCTGGCCAGGTGTTCAGTGTTGGCGAGACACTTGGATTGCGCATGGATATACTGGATATTGGTGGTGGATTTCCGGGTGTGGAGACCGAGGATATGAGCTTTAAGAGGGTGAGTCAAAGAAATGGCGTCACTATGTCAGGTGGTGGTACGCCCCCACCCCCAACCTCCCTCGTTCAGCCCATTCCTATGAAGCTGCGGGTTGTAAGTGTACAAGTGCTCACGTGAATGGAGCTTAGAGGAATGTGGGATGGATGGCTTAAATAACCAGACACAGCACGGCTAGACTGTTAGTTGTTCGAGTAGGGGCGTAGCCAGGTTTTAGGTCCAGGCGAAATGGAGACGAACCCAAAAAAAAATCGTCAAAATTTCACCTTTGCTATTTGTCAACAACACAAAGGTCAAACGTGAAAAATGAATTGAATATGAACAAAATTAATCTTTTCTATGACTAGCTTTGATTTTTTTAATGAAATAAAATTCCCGGAAAAAAAAATTCGCTTCTCTGAAGATAACCACAGAGGGTGCTATCGCCCCAGTTCCTGCTCCCCTTGGTTACGCGACTAAGTTTGACGGACGAAGCCAGATAGATTGCTAGTCCAGCGTTAGTTTTAGTGTCAGTCTCTGTACTCAAAACATGTTCATGTTGACAGGTGGCTGAAGTGGTCAACAGGGCGCTCGACCGCCATTTTCCTGTGTCCAGAGGGGTCAAGGTCATCGCCGAACCTGGGCGGTACTTCGTGTCGTCTGCTTTCACGCTGGCCGTGACGGTGATCGCTAAGCGGGTCGTGGACCGGGTACCCACAGACTCAGGTAACCTGGAAGTGTTAGATTTTGTGTACCCTTGATCCAGACTGAGATGAGTTAATCTACTGTCAAAAATTATATTTAAAAAACCAAGGGGGTCATCAATAAATGACGTCACGCTTTTTTTTTTGACAATTTTTACCTCCATCCCCTCCGTCAGATATCGTCAAAAAAAGGGATCCCCTCCAACACAATTAAGTATACGTTTTAACTGGTTATGCGTATTGAGTCCATTGACTCAAATTTCAGCCTTTGTCCAATAAAGAACAAAATACAAGGCAGCAGTTGTTTTGATTTTGGAGTTGTCTCTCCTAGAAGAGTGGCTGTCCCCAGCTAACGAGCCTCATCTGCCCGAGGGTTCGACCTCGAGACCACGCCGACCCTTACACCATTTATAAGAGTTTCGAGTTCGGATCTCGGACTCGTTTGTAGGGCGTCCCTGAGTCGACCCAGCTTTAATGGGTACCTGACTCCAGTCAGGGAAAATAAAGTTGGCTTAGCATAACATTGAATATTTACCTTTTTATTCCGATGTTACGGAAAAATCTCCTTCATCTACCATCTAAGTAGGAAACACTATTATTATAAGCCCCTGTAAAAAGTAAATTATAAAATATTTAAAACAAAACAATTACAATTTTTTGTGAAAAGAAAAAATCTGTTTACTTTTATACAGCTTTTTAATTGTACGTTTTTTATCAGGTGATCGGTTTTCTGATGGCGATGATTTATCTAGTGATGAAGAGACAGTTTCGGATGTAGCATATGATGATGAGACAGCTACGTCTATAGCCTGTGATGATGAGACAGCGGCTGATGTAGCCTGTGATGATGAGACAGCGGCTGATGTAGTCTGTGATGAGACAGTTGCTGATGTAGCCTGTGATGAGACAGTTGCTGATGTAGCCTGTGATGGTGAGACAGTTACTGATGTAGCCTGTGATGAGACAGTTGCTGATGTAGCCTGTGATGCCACATTTGCTGATGTAGCCTATGATGAGACATTTGCTGATGTGGCCTGTGATGAGACAGTTGCTGATGTGGCCTGTGATGAGACAGTTGCTGATGTAGCCTGTGATGAGATAGTTGCTGATGTAGCATGTGATGAGACAGTTGCTGATGTGGCCTGTGGTACCACCCAGCTGTACATGTACTACGTGAACGACGGCATCTACGGTTCCTTCAACAACGTCTTCACAGACCACGCTGTGGTGTGGCCTAACCTGGTCTCGGTAAGGTGTATGTGTACATTTATGTTACTGTGTAGTGTTGATGTGTACATTATTGGTTGGTGTGAACATGATTGGTTGGTGTGTACAATAGTGTTGGTGTGTACATCATTGGTTGACGTGTACATTAATGGAGTATATATATATATATATATATATATATATATATATATATATATATATATATATATATATATATATATATATATATATATATATATCACGGGTTCCCAACCTGGGGGTCGCGACCCCCCTGGGGGTCGCGAAAGGCTTTCTGGGGGGTCGCCAACTGGTATACTAAACCTTAGTAATTTGAAACAAAATATAAATATTTAGAAGAATTTTTGAAATTCGGCTTTACTAAAATCACTGGAAAGGGAATAGAGAAGATACAAAGCGTACTGAACAAAGTTGTTCTTTTCAGCCACGAGTTTATGAAATCTTCAAAACTAAAACGTCATTTGAGACGAGTCATTCGAAACACACCAAAAAAAGATATGGAGTTCTTTCGTCGGTATAAAGCTAGTTGCAAACGTCAGAGACTTGATCGAACAGGAAGTTTTCCACAAGGAAACACAGCATTAGTGCAATTCGACAGAAAAGTCCCGACAGAAAATGCCAAGCAAAAACAAACACAATAGGAGAAAATCTCATCAAACGCTGCATGTTGAAGATGGTGAACGGTGAAGTTAATTCTTACATATCCGTAGATGTTAAATAACACATTTTTGTTGAAATTAAGCTTTCACCATTAATTGCTTTTCAAGTTGATAAATCAACAGACGTGAGTTCGTGTTCGCAGTTGCTGGTCTTTGTCTATGGTAATCTATCGTTTTGGGTACGTAAAATCGCCCGCAGCTATTAATGTACGAAAACGTACAGTGAGGGTTTGTACGGATGGTGCACCATCTATGTTTAGGTCAAAATCGGGCTTTCAGAAAGCAGAAAAGATTTAGCTCCCTAACCACTGCCCTCACCAATCGCCTTCAAGATTCCATTGCTGGTATAAGTGATAAATTATATAAAATCTGGAGCCTTCAAAGAACTGAGCAAAGACATGAATAAAGATCACGAGGTTCTGCTCTTCTACACTACAGTGCGCTGGCTGTCAAACGAATTGTTGTGAATCGTGTTTTTGAATTGAAATCTGAAATCAAATTGTTTTTGAAAATGCAAAGGAAACAAGACCTTTTGGTGTACTTAAAACGACATAGAGTGGTTGGAGAGAGTATCATACCTAGAGGATGTGTTCAAACATCAACATCAGCATAACCTGAAGCGTCAGGGAAAATGAACGAATATTATCACCTTCCATGATTATCTCGGGGCATTTTTATCAAAGCTGCAAAATCGGCGAAGAAAATAAATCTTGGAAATATTGTAAATTTGAGAAACTCTGCAGAGGGGTAGATGAATCTAATTGTGAGATAATTAAAATTTTGAAAGAAGAAATTTCTGGGCATCTTGAACTGCAGCGCTATTTCTCTGAGCTGAAAAAAAGAATCTGCATTGACGCATTATCCATTCTCTTCTTCCCTCGATGTTGCCAGCATTCCCGAGAATTACAAGATGAATTCTTTGATTTGTAGAATGATTCCGCGTAAGATAAAAAACTGCACACTCAATTTTGGTGTAGTATTCACCATTCATACCCGAACGTAAAATTTATTGACTTTTCGAGAATATATTTTCAACACTATTTTTCGATTAAAAACAAAATTAAGATAATGACATAGGTTGGCGTTAACAAAAAAATACTTTAAAAAAAATTAACCGCGAATGTTTTGTGAATAGTATGCAATTTTACTCATGGTATTAAAACAGTTATTAAGAGTAGTTCATATTGAAAGTCTACTAGAAAATGTTATTTGAGTGCTTATTAATGCCCATACTAATTTCGGCTTTTTAATTCTACGGGGGTCGCGGGTCACTTAATTTTTATAAAAGGGGGTCGCCACTCGAAAAAGGTTGGGAACCACTGATATATATATATATATATATATATATATATAAGATGTGTACATGATTGGAGATCACACTTGGAAATGTCCATCAAAGACAAAGTGTACATCATCTTTGATATTTATACGGTTGTAGATGTTCATATTTTTATTTATGTGTACATCTTTGTAGATGTGTATGTTAGTGTAGGGAACGTGTGTCCTGTTTTGTTTGTACATAACTGAAGGTGCATACATTGTTTCTAGATTTGTTTATGATTGTAAACGTATGCATTTTTCTAATGTGTGTATTATCCATGCTGTTTTGATCAATGTTGATGTGTTAATCACAGTAGATGTGTGGGCTACATCATTGTATGTGTGTAAATTATTGTAAATGCGTACATCTTTTCCAATGTATATACATCACTGATGTTGTGCACATCAATGTAGGTATGATCATCATAGTATAGTACGTAGGCTACATCAATGTACAGATGCTCACATCATAACTGGTGTGTACATCAATGCTATGCCCCAAGGCCACCCACAATACAACATATCAGCTCTACTAACGTAACCACCGTGTTCACGTCTCTCCATCTCTCCGTGCAGTTCCAGCCGGCCAGGAGCCTGCGATGCCACAGGTCCGTGCGGTGCCACCGGTCTGTGATCTGGGGACCGACGTGTGACGGCATGGACTGTGTGGTCAAGCAATGTTCCCTGCCAGAGCTGGACGTTGGTCAGTGGCTCTACTTCACCGACATGGGGGCCTACACCGTGACCTTGTCGTGTGACTTCAACGGTATCTCAAGGCCGCTCAGGTTCTACGTCTGTGATGGTTGCAGCTGGTGAGTAGGTCATAGCTGGTTATAGTGGGTGATAGCTGGTTATAGCTGGGGAGTAGGTCATAACTGGTTATAGCTGGGGAGTAGGTCATAGCTGGTTATAGCTGGGGAGTAGGTCATAGCTGGTTATAGCTGTGGAGTAGGTCATAGCTGGTTATAGCTGGGGAGTAGGTCAAAGCTGGTTATAATTGGGGAGTAGGTCATAGCTGGTTATAGCTGGTTATAGCTGGGGAGTAGGTCATAGCTGGTTATAGCTGGGGAGTAGGTCATAGCTGGTTATAGTTGGGGAGTAGGTCATAGCTGGTCATAGCTGGGGAGTAGGTCATAGCTGGGGAGTAGGTCATAGCTGGTTATAGCTGGGGAGTAGGTCATAGCTGGGGAGTAGGTCATAGCTGGTTATAGCTGGGGAGTAGGTCATAGCTGGTTATAGCTGGTTATAGCGTGATTTTTCTGTTCCCAGGCAGGAAGTTTTCCGTCTAGCCAATAACCTAAACATCAACTTTAGAACATCTTTGTCCAGACGATCAGCGCCTTGTGATATCGATGATATCGATGATATCGATGATGCTGATCAGGCAGCCACGTCCTACAAGGTGGTGCCAGAGTGCATGACTAGTCAAGCGGAACTACAAATCCAATCGACGGATAACAAAATTACTCTCATAACTAGCAGAAAACATAACGAAAGGCTTGTACTATCAAAGGGAGAGTAATCTGTAATTTTGTTGTTAGTTAGTTTTTTTTGCAGTTATCTAACTTTGACCGCACAAAATTTAATCGATGACTTGATTTATTTGTATATTAGTCGATTTTATTTTTAGAACCGTTGTAGCGAGAATTATGTAGATAATATTTGTTTTATATGTAAATAAATCACTAAGTTACTTGTAGATACAAATTATCAGTGCAATTTTCTTACAAAGCATGGAGCTTAAATGTATTTATGTATTTCTCTTTGAATAGATCAAAATGCTTTATTTAATATGAATAATTAATAACTAAGAAAAATTATTATTGATTTTTACATAAGCAATTAAGCAGTTGTTCAATTATTATTTTGATCACCATTTTTCAAATAATGTGTGGAAGTATATAGCTTTAAAATTATTTGAAATAAATTTAAATGCTGATTTATGTGTATATGTATATATCAACTTCATGATGTTAATAAGTTAGTGATATTTTGTGTGCGTTGTTTCTTGTTATATTTATTTAATTTATTTCGAACGAGACGTTTATTTTTATTTCCTTTGTGATTTTTATGCTTACTTCATACATGGATAATACATTCCTACGTGAATTTGTTTTGATTTTGTTTATTTTTTCATTAATTTTCCTTGTAACTTCCCAATGTGATGTTTATCAAAGACTTGGTCACGTGATTGATGACGTAATTTATCATGGATAGATAGTGAGTACTCGTGCTGGCGCGTGTTCCCGTTTTGTTAAAAACTAGAACTTTCGACGGAATGTTGAACAACTAAAATAACATTTAATAACGGAAAAGTGTCAATAACACAAACTTTCATAGCTCCCCCTCCCTACCTCGCCACAAAACGACACAGAGACAGCCGTTAGCTTTATGTAAGTTACACAGCATAGCTTTAAAAAATGGAACAGAGACAGTAGTTAGCTTTATGTAAGTTACACAGCATAGCTTAAAACAACGACACAGAGACAGTAGTTAGCTTTATGTAAGTTAGGCCCTACCTAGCATAGCTTAAAACAACGGCACAGTATGCATGGGTCTGCGTGAGCTGGGTATGGTGCGAGAAGGAGGAGGGTGGGTCCGGGTGAGGTACGCATGAGGAGGGTGGGGGATGGAGTGAGGTGGGGTGAGTTCATGTGGTGGTGAGGTGAGCTAAGAATGAGGAGGGTGGGTGGTAGAGTGAGAGGGGGTGGGGTGAGTTCATGTGGTGGTGAGGTGAGCTAAGAATGAGGAGGGTGGGTGGTGGAGTGAGAGGGGTGAGGTGAGTTAAGAATGAGGAGGGTGGGTCCAGGTACAGTGGGGATGAGATGAATTAACGTGGCTATGAGGTAAGGTAAGAATGAGGAGGGTGGTTAGTGTCGATGAGGGTAAGGAGGGTGTGAGGACTTGCGGGGATGAGGTAAGGCTAAAGTGGATATGGGGCTCTGACGAGGTGTGACATATTGGAGATACCCCACATAATGCGCAGTACACATGTAACATTTTTACACCTCACCCTCCCCTTTTCCTCCTCTGTACAGCATCTAAAATGAAACCAAATAGATTCAACAATTCCTCATAATGCACCCACGATTAGAACAGTGGGTAATTAACGAACCAATTAAGCTTGATTAAACACGGTATTTGCTGAACATCAGAACATATTTTCACATCAAACGGCAGACATGTTAATGACCCGCCCTCTGGGTAGGGGACGCTAACAAACATGGCGCAATGGAATACGTTAGGGGTTGTAAACAAAACAGTACAATGTGACCTTCCCCCGCCCCCTTCCTTCCAATCCACAACCAAATTTTACATTACACAACATATCCTCAGGGATGTAGGGTCACTAGGTTAGGGGTCACACGGTGCGGTAATTTTATTAACAGTGCTGAACTTTTATTACTGAAAGAATTTTATTTTTTAAGTAATTTCAGAGTTTCTTCTAGACATCTCTTCGGGGGGGGGGGGGGGGGGGGGGCGAAGAAAGTCTACCCGCCTCCCCCCCCCCCCGAAAATATCGTGCCTTCCCCCCCCCCCCCCCCCCCACCCCACCCCACCCCCCTCATGGGAGAAAAAAGTCTGGAAGAAACACTGATTTCAGTGCATTTAAAAGCTTATTATTTAATTATTCAAGAGGGTTTTTTTTAATGTTTATTTAATTAATAAGACTAATGAACTGCGACCCCTACCTCCCCCGACACACAAGCCACAACACAATAGATACCGTAAACATTGTCTTGTGAACAGAGTCCCATCAATTAGAGCAGTGTTTCCCATAAGTTGAATTCTCGAGTTCCAAGAATTAATTTTGAGACAAATGATAAAATATATTTGATTGCGATATTTTCATAGAAACAGTTTGATCTCGAAATGTACGGCTTGATGAGCTTTACTTTTATAGATCTGTTATATTTCGGCGAACCTTTTTTTGCCTAATGCATTATTTTTTTATCTTTAAATATCGTTTATAACTCAAAAGATCAAAATCGTTCTAAGTTTGAGACAGGTTGCTTCTAAAAATACATCGACTAATGACTAAGCGGTAAAATCAACATCTTTAAAAATGTCTTTACAATTTCTTTACTTATTTCCAAAGTTTTACAAAAATAAATAAAATGAAGTATCATAATTTTTTGTTTTATATTACATCTATGGTAGTATTTGGGACGGAGTGGTCTAGCGGTAGAGAGCTGGACTGCTAGTTCGAATCCGGATTCAAGTCAGTAGACCGTCTCTGAGTCCACCACACTCGCGTTAGGGAAAGTAAAGGCGGCTGGGCGTAGTGCTGACCACACTATCTCTTCATATGCCGAGGTCACAGAAACAAGTGCACTCTACTTCACTTGCCCTATAGACCTTCAGGTTTGAAAAGGGAACTTTACTTATGGTAGTGTTTTAGACACTGAATTTCATGTTAGCATCGTTGTTTTTGTTCAAGGGTGACAACGCTATGTAAAAACAATTCAAATTTCAACGCTGTTGTCAACGTTAATGTCTGTCTAGAGATGATGCCGCTAATCTAATTTATAACAGTTTTAGGTTTGGTAGAGTTCAGTGATCCGTAAAGGCACTGGATATTTTCGGGGGAGCGGACTAAATTTTCCGGGATGGGGGGGGGGGGGGGGGACACTGGTAAAAGTATAGTAGATGCCTGAAACAAGGAACTCTACTACATCTGTTATATTGTAACGTACAAAATAAAGCTCCCTTTACAAATCTGGCGGTCTATAGGGCAAGTGAAGTAGAGTTCACTTGTTTCTGTGACCTCGGCATATGAAGAGATAGTGTGGTCAGCACTATGCTCTTTACTTTCCCTAACGTTAGTTAGTTACCCATCAGAGTTAAGTGAACTCAGGGACGGTCTACTGACTAGAACCCGGATTCAAACTCGAAACTTTCGGGTTAGCAGTCTAGCTCTCTACCGCTAGACCACTCCATCCCCATCTGCTATATTGACCATCAGTTTTCTTTTAAATTTGCACCATTACCCCCAGAGTCGTAGCGAGGGCGGGGTGGGGGTGCGGACCGCATCGGGTGACACAAATTGGGGGGGGGGGGGGTGACACCAAGGCAATAAATTGCAAAAATATACAAAAGACAAATGCTTTGTTGCCATTCCATTAATGATTTATATAAATAAATAAATAAATAAACAAATATATATATATATATATATATATATATATATATATATATATATATATATATATATATATATATATATATTATATATATACTTTTTTTGGGGGGGGAGGATGACACCGCGAAGTGCCGCACCGGGTGACACCCAACCTAGCAACGCCACTGATTACTTCTCTGATCTACACCATACGATAAAACGAAATGATAGACACCCACCCTGCCATTGCGTGTTACATAATGTGTCTACCAAACCATGTAACACTATCGTTAAAATTTATATGCAACTACGCCATTAGTGGGTTTTTTTCTTTTGTCTTTGTTGTAGTCAGAATTTGATTTTAAATAAAATTGTATTTTAATAACCTTTTTTAATATACTGAGCAGTTATTTGCTTAATCACAAATATAATAATTTTTTTCTTACAGTAGACATTGTAAGACAACTCAGATTGGAATACACATTTCTAAATTTCATGAGTTACTTCCCTTGCATTATTTCTTTACTACGTTTTAATTAAAATTTCCTGTTAAAAATCTCGAGTGAACTCCACTATTCGTTCTTTGTATTCTTTAAAATTAATGGAGCATGTGGACTACTTAAATTGGTTTCCACCCCTCCCCCTCTCTCTCTCTCTCTCCCTTTTATCACCAGCCGTTAGCCATGTTGTTGAACCGTGTTTACCCCGTTTAGTGAACACAACTCACTATTTTTCCTACTCAACAGCTCCTGTAGTTGGTGCCTTATATAACACCTTGATTACACGCTCACAGCACTCACACGGCGCACGTGGCTCAGATACCCCCCCCCCTCCCCCCAGACTTCTTCATGTAGGTGACCCGGTACAGGCAGGTGTGTTCACACCATCGATCCGGCTACACATGTGTTACGTCTGCTTCGTCTTCTGCAACACCACGTGGGCGCCTTCTTAACCTGTGACCTTTGCCCCTGTGTACTGCAATCTCTAGCCTGTCTTGTGTGAGCTTATGTAGGACGGTGTTCATTTTTTCACAAGTGTCGTTAACTTATACTTTACTTCGTCCATACACATTAAAATTTATATCAGGTTAATCATAAAGCTATCCTAAACTCTAATCCCAACTTTGGCGGTTGTAGAAGAAATAAATAATCTCCACTTAGGCATTAGGATATACTTTTTTTCTAATGTTTTTATAACTACGTCTAATCTTTCACAATGAGAGAATCGCTGGCTCGAGATTTTTCGAAATGGGTCGGTCCTTACTGTGACCTTCTTCAAATTTTAACGTGTAACAAAGACGTCCGAGTGAATGAAACAAAGAGGGTCAACAAATCTGACCCCATGACCCCTGGATAGTCCCAAAAAAAAAAGAGGGTGGAATGAGCTTGTCCGATTTTTAAATTTTTATTTTAACCAAACCAGTGGCGTTAGACGCACGCGTGACGCGAACCCGCGCTATTTAGCGGGTCAGACGTGTCACGTGATTTTTGACGTCTGTCGAGCCGGGCTAACCATATTCGGTAAAGGGGACAGAATCGGTCACATACTATGAAGGGGAAGTAACTGGTGACTATTTTTT